TGTGTGTTGAGATTACAGGATGCAAATGTCCTTTTGTCTTTGACCTTCACAGACCTAAAGCTCAACACGGGCTTTAGAAAGGAGCCTATTGTGCTTCTGTTTTAAGAGAAATATCATTTCATTCATTGCAGGAAAACTAGGACAGCCAAACGATTAAAATAATATTGATTAATCGCATTAGTCTATGTAATAAATCAGGATTAACTGCATTTGTCTTATTTGGTCTAAATAAGACTTTCCATTTAAAATGCAGTGCATTTAAACAAGTGGACAAAATAATCATCAGAATGTATTTATTACTTTCAATAATTCAACTTGAACCTGAACTTCAAATCACAGAAATAAAACACAGTTCCCACATGTCATCACCGATGTCTGGTGAGAGCAACGGCTACGTTTCAGCTCCTCCACAACTGTAGCTCTCGCTCTCATCCCACAATATGATGAGTTTTCCTTTTTGCTGTTGCTTTTGTTAGTTTGCTGCTCATTGATTTATTCATAGCTCTTTTGCGAGCTCTATTAAGTGTTGTCTCTCCTCCAGTGGTAAGCTTACTGTTATTATTGAAATCGCCAACATCAGCACTGTGTTTTGCATTTAAATAATAAATTAGGCTTGACAAAGTTCAGTGAAAAACAAATGCATGGCATTGTAGTAACTGGAAAGCACTTTTAACAAGAGAGCCATCAATGGAACTTGACCAATGGAGGCATTTAAAGCTGTATTAGAACAAGTGGACTACAGTCACAGAGTCATAGCAACATTGAGCAGCTGGGCTTCAGCCTGGAACTTCCAATGGTTCAAAGGGTTAAATTAGGGAAATGAGTTAACAGAGTAAAAAATGAGTGATGTTAATAATTTGGCGTGTTAACGTTTTCAACACCACAAAAGTCTGACACCGTTGTAATCTGAAAATGTAAATGATTATCTTTTGCTGACTGTAAATAAATACTGTTAGCGTGTGTGTTTAAGTGTAAGTACGCTGGCGCAATATGGCTGCTGCTTACATCAGTTTCATTATGTTTGTTTGGTATTGTTTGTGTGAATGTTTTGATGTTTCCCCACTGGCCGAGGAATTTGCCAGTGGACTGACTACACTACATTGCTCCTACAAGGCTGCCTGGACCAACCACTTAAGCTACGCCACATTGCAGATGTGAGGCAGCCTTGGCCGACTGCTCAAGCGATTCTACATCGCAGGTATGAGTCTACCTGGACCGACTGTTGAGCAACACTACATCCCAGCTACAAGGCTGCCTTGACTGACCGCTTAAGCGATGCTACATTGAGCTACGTGGTTTCCTGAGCCAACTGCTGGAGTGACGCTACACTGCCGCTATGAGGCTGCCTGGATCAGTGGCATTCGGGTGCATGAGCAAGTCCACACAGAAGCTATGAAGCTGCTTGGGTCGGCTCCTTCAGCAACACTACCACCCTAGAGACAAGGACCTTTTTCCAGGCTACATGGTTTGCTGTGACCACCTGTGTGAGGCTACACTGTAGTTGCAAGGCCCCCTGGACCCCGAGAGACCTTCTCCCTGTGGCTAAGGACTCTTTAAGGCTAAGGACTCTTTGAGAGCCAGCTAAGTGACTATTCTGTGTTCAGTGGATTGTTTCCCCCATAAGCTGGAGATCTCTTTGTGTGTTCAGGGTTGCTTTATTTATTGCTGATTGTGTATTTTGGTATTTTGGTTTGAAAAAAGCATTAATTATCAATTAATCATCAATTAAAGGCCTTATTAATAGTATTATTTTTCAAAGCCAGCAGGTATGCATGCCAACTTTATAGGTAATAGTGAGTCATATAATGTCAGAAACCACATAAGCAAGTCTATTTGACATTACCTTACAACTTAGCACAGTTTGAGGAGTGTGAGGATTTAGGCACACAGTTAGCGCAGTGCTAATTGGTGAGATATAAGCTTTCATTACTTGCTAGTTACATTAGCCTCGTAGCTCCAGAGCTTGAAATTTCAGACCTCAAACATGTCTTGGATGTTCACTTAGATTTGAAGGGTCAAATAGTGAAATATACACAAAACCAAACTATTAATTTGAAGGTCTAAACAGAGAAACAACACAAAAGTTTGGAAAAGTATCGGAAATGTAAGGAACATACAGAGAAACCACAGAGGAAGTGGTCAGTTCACTAGGCTAAGGGCAGTTTGGGCTGATACACGAAGCTGCATTACCGCTAGCAAAGACACGTAGCAAGGCCCGAGTGCAAATGAGGATAAAACGGGCAGACTGTTTAAGCAGAGGGGAACGAGAGCGCCAGAGAGAAAGAAGAAGAAGGTAAAGGAGAGATGAGGGCTAATGACAGCTAGCGTCTGTTCCCACAGCTGGCCCTTGCCCCCCTCCTTCTAAAAAACTCAGCAGGAGCCATTACCAGTAGGGGGGCGAGTTCACCCCCTATATTACCACTTCAGCCCCCCATTAACCGTCCACTCCCCCCTACACAACACACACACATAAACACGCCGCTAGCTCATCCTGCGCTAACCGTGTTAGCCCTGCTATCTGTCATTCTAATAGCCGTTGTTATGCTGATATGCACAGTAGGAGTGACACTGAGGTGGATCTCGCTTCAATCACCCACATAACAGGCAGATCTGGGCCACGATCCCCCACACAGACTTAACCAACCCAGACTGAACCCTGCAGGAGCTCCGCTACACACCCACCAGGCCGCGTACACGCAGCGATTTCTCTGGCTGTGCAATTAAGAGCAAGACTGTATTCCATCTGATGAGGCTGGATTTGGTTAGCTCCTGGTTACGGGCAGCAGGCGATATCGATTTGGGCCTTGAAACAAGTCAATTATGTGTCAGTGCTGAATATATCTTTATAGTAAGCACCACTGGTCAGTTGTTCAAGCTGAAGTTGTGCCTTATTTTTTCAGATTTTGCTGCAATTAGCAGTTGTGGTGATATACAGTGGTACAAAACCCAACAATGCTGTTTCAGATCTTTAAGATTTCGATAACCATGTATGATTACCATCTTTTTAAAACGTCACAGTGGAAGTAAACAGCCTACAGACAACATTAGTGCAAAACACAATCCAGGACGTTCACAGTTACAGTCTGAACAGAAATCTGAAATATGCTGGTGATACAAGGCACTTTCCATGAGTTCATTTTATGTCCTATTATCTTTTTAAAGGGACTGTCATTTTTGTATTTCTGTGAAAGGTGATCTGTACTTTCACTTAAAATGATTTAAATTGCCAATTAAATTATAAAAAACCATGAAACATATCCACCTTTAACATGGTGATTTTGGGCTGTCCCACCTCACTGACCTCTCTGTGAAATAACACCAGTAATACCATAATTACAAGGGTAGTTGGTTTATTTACAAGAAATGTAATGTTAAAATAATTGTCTCTGAATTTATTTAGTTTAACAGTGTCCCACATTTTATGCGCAAACTTTTAGCCAAACCTGCTCCCCTGTAAAATATTCTGTTTATTGTGATATATAAAGTAATTTGCACCATCTTGTTGTTTTCTGCAGAATGATCATCAGGCAAGCAAGCAAGTGTATATATATATATATATATTTTCCCCTTAATTTATATAAACTGGATAGTTATTAGTAGTTAGCAGGTAACATGTACCCTGTCAAGCGAACCATTCCTGAATGCTGCTTATTTTAGGCTAAATTCCCATCTCTACTGCCCTGTTATAAGCACTTTATAAATATATATTTCTTTCTTGTTACAAAATAACAAATTCAATGTACACAGCCCTCTAAATGCCACTTACATGTCTCCCTAAAGATTTTTAACAAGGTTCCACTAAATGCTGTACATTTCAGAAAAAAATAGCTCATACAGTCTCTTTATTTTTCTTAAGCACTTTGATGAATATTTTGTCAAAAACCACTAAAGAAAAAAGTAAATTTTTAAAGAGTTTCAAGGCCTAAAAACTGTGATTTCATATTTATTTCCATGAACTCTATTAATGATGAAGTGCCTCAATATTGTGCAAAAATCACCACCATTTATTAAACACCATTCAATTTCCTCTTAAAACAGACACTTTTACAGTACAATTTGACACTACAAGTTTACACTTTTCAGCTTTAGGAAAAAACTGGAAACATATTTAACAGAAAATTAGACGGAAGCTTTAACAACTACACGTGTCCACTCTTTTCTTTTGTTACAGCTTCCATTCTTCTTAGAAGACTCACTTTCAGTTTTTCAAAGAAATCTGCAGTGAAATTAAATAACAGGGTACTGTAACTTCATATTTATTTAGATTGTAGCAGGTTTTTAGGATGTTATGAAGAAATAGGAGCCAATAGTCTATAAATACAACACGTGGCAAAATGTGTTTATTAATGCTTTTAAAACATTTGCAAGATGTTTTAACAATACTGTAAACTCCCGAGAAACGTGATGATTTGGTAACCGATATTTAAGGCTGGTGTTGAAATTCAGTAGAATAAACAAACCCATTTCCAGCAGCTCACCACCGTTTCTCATTTGTGCAACAACCATTTTCGGTTTGTAATTAAAAAGAAAGTATTGTTGAGAAATCAGAACTGAATTCAAGGCATTAATACTTTGTGCTATATTAGGATGCAACTATCATTCAAAAGCACATTCAGAATTGAATGCTTAGTTTTTGCAGACTTTTAAAAGTATATAAAATGAATTTCTCCTGGCTGTTTCTATGTACGCAGGCCTAAACCCTTTGAAAAACATCAGGGCTGTACTACAGACATGTTTGATTTTTTTATGTATCTTAGATCAGTGAAGACAAATTATATACAGATTACACAACTGGGTTAAAATGACACTATTTTTTCATAAAACTGCTTTATTTTGCTACAAATCTTACTGTTAATATTAACATAAAACGACTGTACACAAACACGCTGAAAGGTAAAGTAATACACATAAGAAGAGAGGAGAAAAACAGACATGATGAAAAACAGTAAAATGAACAAACAACAGAAGACACTGATAAAAACCTGCAGGAAGTAAACGGCATAAAAAGTATGTTGATGTTTAAAAGGCGTTGCATTGTGATGCTTTTCATATTTACATGAACTGGAATCCATATAAAGAAAAAGTGTGCAATTCATATCTATGGACAGAACAGATAATACACTTCCATTACTCGTCTAACTGATGTAAAACAATACACACTAATGAAGAGATAACATCTGAAACAGAAAGACTGTGAGAAAGAAGACACTCCAATGTGAATCAGTGGACGACCAAAGTCTGCATCCAAAACTGAATGCCAGTGAAAAATGACATTCAAGCCTGGAGCTCGCTGGACGCTGGACAATGAGTCAAACACAGGAGCTGACTACGTAGACGGTCAGATCAGGTGAGGTCAGATGCTGCTTGTAGACAGGATGTCTTCCACGAGGTGTTTATACACCCAGGCGTCTCCTTTCAGTCTCTGTCGTCGGATGCCCACCACCTCGGGCTTCTGCAGCATACACACCTCCAGCTCAAACTGCATCGTCACCTTCCCAAAGTCTGACTGCGTACGACACTTCAGCGTGTAGCTAAGAGAGAATCAGAAAGAAAACAGAGAAAACGTTCCTGAACTGCAGTAAAAAGCCTCATCCATGTCTGTTCTCAAAAGAAACCAGAGGATAAACCGTATTGAGCCCTGAAGGATAATTCAACTGTCCCAGATTAGCAGTGCGTACATTACAGAGTACAAGCGCAGCATGAAACCAGGAGAACAACTGTGAATGAACTTATTGGATTATCAAAGCTAAATGATTAGATTTTAACTAAAAATGTGCATTTTCTTTATAAAACAGATTTATCACGCAATTCTCTGATATAGCAATTCTTTCATGTTGCTAGACAGTTGCTATGCTGTTGCAGGAGGCTGTAAGGGGATTGCTAGGCAGTTATGGTACTAACGATTCTTTGATGCTGCTAGCTGTTTCCTATGGTGCTCCAGAATGGTTGATGGGGGAACGCTGGGCAGTTACCATGGTATTCCAGGTGGTTGCAAAGGTGTTGACAGTTGGTTCCTATGTTATTCTGGATGTTTGTTTTTTTTATTTGTTTTATTTGTTTGTTGGCCCAAAACTCAAGCTGGAAGAATGGATGGATGTATGTATGGAGGGATGGATGGAGGGATGTATGGATTAATCAAATCAATCTGGGCCTCTTGCACGCTACTTAATTCTGTCGACCCAGACTGCCCCTAAATCTGCAGACTAGAGCCAACCAGCGAAGACTCAGTGCAACTAAGAATCAGGGTAAACGCTGTGTAGTGTAACTTCGGCCCAAGACAGGTGTGAGAAATGGTGTAAGTGTACGCAAACAGACAAAACTGTACTCACCCTTTCTGAACAAAGTCCACATTCTTCTCTGGTAAGACGCTGAGGATCTGGTTCAGCACCTGGTCTGCGTTAGTCTGGCTGGTCAACGTCACGTTGTACTGTGCCTGAATTATTTCATACAGTCACTTTAATACAGAATTAAGATTTCAGGCTTTCCAAAAACAGTCCAGATGAAGATCCATGCTGAATGTTTTGAATCAGGATTTCACTCAAATGAGTAAAAAGGCATCACATTAAGAATCACCTACTGCCAACAGACTCAGTTTGAGTTTGAATTTTTCTGTAATTGTTGAAGTGAATGCCTTATTATTATGGCAAATAATTTACTAATTAAAACATCGTCCATATGGCACAATGTCCAAAAGGACCCAAACATTTTAAGTACAATAAAGACCTTCATAAAAACTTTCAAGACATTAAAAGTCCTGTTGGTAACACTTTATTTTAAACCTGCCTACATTGGGAATTTGTAACACATGCATAAGCACTGAAAAATGTATTTATAAAGCAACACTTTAACATTTAAATAGCACATTCATGTCTGCAATCACACAAGTCTCCTCAATAGAAACTGTTCAGCAAAATAATATAATAACAATTTATTATTTATAATTACTTTAACAACTGAAAGCACTTTTATGGCTTCCTTTATTTTTTATAATTAAGTACGTTTAAAAGCAAGTAATTTTATACTTTGTACTCAAGAAGAAATACAATACTAATATTTTACACAGACATTTAATACGAGAATATACAATCAGATACAAAGGCTGTACACCTGGTCAAACTACATGCTTTGCTGATTTAAGTAAAAATAAGTTACCATATCCTCTACAGAGAGCTCACTTCTGCACACCTTAATGCACAATTACTGTTTATTTGCTCAATTTAACATACAGGAAAAACAATTAATAAAATATGGCCTGTGCAAAAGTTATGGCACATTATATATTTAACTTATATTTTTCCCAACATGTTAAATGTGAATAAATAGAAATTGTGCACTAAAGGTTGAAGAAACACTCTACATTTAAGTTTGTTACTTGTTGATGATGTGTTAACTTTGTCACAATGTCATTTACCTCAACACATTTTCTGCCGTATCACGATTACAGCACAAGTTCATACATTTTCAAGTATTGCTTTATAAAGGCGTTATTCAAAGCTTATGCATGTGTTATTAGGTCACGATTTAGGCAGTCCTCAAAACCAACTGTGCACTTCCTTAATATGCTATTAAGAGCTGCAGGTTTACCGCAAGTGTTTCAAAAGACATTCACATACAGACAAATACAGAGTTTCATAAAACGTCAGACAGAAAAATGGCAGGACTGAGAAAGAAAACGAGAAACTAGTAAGTCAGTGAGTAATAAAATAAATTAATAAATGAGAAGGATCAATAATAATAATAATAATAATAATAATAATAATAACAATAACAATAACAACAACAACACTGAGAAGAAGAAGAAAAATAAGAAGAAAAAGAAAAAGTTATGAACAAAATAAAGCAACAAGCAAGACTTACAATAAAAGACTGGCAAAAAATCAAATATACACGACCGTCTTCTTCGCACTGATGTAGTGAAGCAGCTAAAACATGTCTGTTGCATGGACTGGAGCAAAGAGGCTAATGTGACTAATAAGTACCCACCAATTAGCATCTTGCTAATCATCAGACACACCTCAAACCATGTCAAGTTGTTATGTAATCTCAAATAGATGTTCTTATGTGGTTTCAGACACTGTAATACTGTTATCTATATAAATGGACAAAAGTACACTGCACAGCTAAAACAGTGGACTAACTCTCTGTGGTAAAGAGAAACTGTGTACATTTAATTTTAGGCCAAACATGGCAAGCATGCATCGCAGGCAAAGACGCTGTGAGGGATTAGCGACAAAGCTAAAATGTGCGCACAGGAAAAGCAGACGTAATCTAGGAAAGTGCTGAAATCAAACCTTTATCCTGCGCGGGCCGTCCCGCAGGCCTCTCTTCTTGCTCGGGGTCAGCATGGTGATGACTTTGTCCAGGCCTCTCTCCAGACTGCCAAACACTTTCCCTGCTTTACGCTTCTGCCCGCTGTCAAGCTGGCAACCCGCCATGTCCAGAGAGCGTGACCTGAGGAACATGGGAAATGTAATCGCGAAGACTTGTGCTGCATTGTGACAAATACCCGTGCTGCACACTAAACACTAATTCTCTTAGTCCTACAGGACACAGTCTGATACCGTCCCTGCTCAGAAACACCTGATTCATCATTAATCACCAGGTTTAGTACCATCAGTGTTCCCATTGTTTTTAGGAAAACATTTTCCAGGATTAATTCCACGACTTACATACGCAACAGCTGCTGTCACCAACAGCTCAAGTTAAAATGGTGCACAAAAATTAAGTCAACAATACACCCTCTAAGTCAGTACTGACTCAGAGACATACCGACACATTCACACAAACTATTCCTGTATCCACAGGCAACACTGTAGAATTCCAAACTCCAATTCCCAAAATGGGCACCAGCAGCTGGAAATGTGCTTCCTCTGTGGTTTAATGGTCAAACTTCACACTTTTCCAGGATCTCATTAATATTCCCAGGACATTTAATCAATGTTTATTTTCTTGGAGTTTTCTGTGACTGGAAAATTAGTCTCCAAATTTCCAGGTTTTTCAGGATGTCTGGGAATCATGACCATTCATCCTAATTGGCAGCTGCAGCACACAACTTTGTCAAAATTTCTAAATTTATTCTGTGCTATTAATTAAAAAAAAATATTACTTTGAATGTACAGTCATATGCAAAAGCTTGAACACCCCAAAATACTCGAATTATGTTTTGTTGATTTTTTTTTTTTGAGTGAAAATAAATGAACACATCCTTTACAGAGAACAAACTTAAACATGGCATTTTTCTGCAAAAGTTACTGCACAATTTCTATTCATCTGTTTAACATATTGAGTGATAAAAAAAATAAAATAAAAAAAACATTAAATGTGCCATAATGTGCACAGGTCACATTTAATGTTTTATTTTGTTTCTGAATATACACAGTAATTGTGCATTAAAACACACAGAAGTGTGTTCTGTGTAGAGGGTGTGCTCACTTATTTTCACTTAAATCAACAAAACATATCATTTGGCCAGGGGCACCTAAACCTCTGCCTGTGTGAAGTGTGATACTGTTTAGACAGATCAACTGTAGTTTTAATGTGTCATGTTAGTATAGAAAAATTTGAATCTGTTGCTTTTTCCAGGTGGCACAGATTTGATTAATGACAACACAGTCCAGCTCAGCAGTGGAGCACTTTACACTGAAAACTCCGCAACTCAGTGTAGTGACTCTAAACAAGCTGCACTGCAGTTTCTCCAGCATGAACAGGTCAGTCTCTTGCTTAAGCACAGCACAGTGCAAAAGTCAGAGACTATTTATTCTTGTAATTCCCAGTCAGTGAAGTACACATTATTCACTTTCAGAAGAGATTTCTGAGCAGGTTAGACATAAAGATAATCCACTTTTTTAATTGAATTGTTAGAAGCAGAAAACGCAACCAATTTCTAAGACTGAACTTTGGATATGCAGAAAAATATCTCTGCAGATTTCTTTGAAAAACTGAAAAAAACTCTAATAAAGGCAAAGGGTGACACTGAGAAAAAACGTAAAAAAAGTGGATTAGCATGTTATTTTAATTGGTTTTCATTTGTTTTCTCAAGATCTCGTGTTATTTGTGTCGTTATCACAGCAAAATGAATGCCGTTTACTCTAAGGCCCAATCCCATTTCACCCCTCGCCCCTACCACTTAGCGCTTAGCCCTCTGTTTTGCGCGTTCACGTCTAGGGGTAGGGTGTCCCAATTTTTGTTGAGATGGAGGGGTAGGGCGAAGTGTTAGGGCTACATGGCCCTCCAAACGGAGATTTTTCCAGAGACTCCAAACAGAGTTTTATGAGACGGCAAGATGAACAAGAGACCACAGAAACCCACAAATGTGAGAATTTTGTCTGTTAAAAAATGACGATAACCATCGTATTATCTTAGTTTAATGTCGTTTCAATGTATTATGGTCGTTTTCTTTGTAAAAAGCATAAAAAAAATTGCGAATAGCATGCTAATGTATCGGTAGCTATCTAGCTAACTTTCCCGTTCCACCTTAAATGGTGCAGCAGTTACATTCTGCTGGACTATTTCAGTGATACGAAGCTGGTGAATAGCTGACTTCAGCTTCGTATCACCGAAGAATCAGTGGTGGGCAATAATAAATAATTGCCCCCCCTCCTCATATGATGCCCTAAATGTAACCAAAGCCCAGCAGTGAGGTCGCTCAACTTTACCCTCCTCTGCTATCACTGCAGATGGGCTGGGTCGCCTACAGAGCACTGCTAGTAGCCTGTTAATGAAGCAGTGTTTTTGTTTTTATTTATTTATGGCAAGATTTCAACCACTACCCCTTGAAACTCGAAAACAAAGGGGTAGGGGTAAACAGAAGAAATGGGATTGGGGCCAAGTCTCAAATTATTATATCATTATCAGGACATGAAAATAGTTCTACCACGATAACATCTGTGGTCATGATAACAGCATAAATCTCTCCATTGCCCTTTTGGCCTTTCATACCTTTGTGTCATTTTCCGTTATAAATGTTTTCTGCTTTGACTACGATTTAAATAAAAGGTGGTCTCCGACTTCTGCACAGTACTGAAATACACTTCGACTTCACTTTTTTCACTTTCACCAGCCTGTTTTACATTCGCTGCCAATTACTCAACAGTTTTCTTTCATGGTTTCATCTTTATCCATCACTCTTTCTCTGAGTGTACCTTCTCTCTGGACTCAAGACCAGGATCTCCACTCCTCCCTGCTGACCACTCTGCTGCTGCTCCGCTGCCCTCCTGTGGGACGATTCTGCACACACACACGCGCGCACACACACACACACACACACACACACACACACAGAGGACAAACATGTGTCACTACATGCTACACGCAACAGCCAGCAGTGGGAAAAGTGACATATACACCTGTCAGTGCGCACCTCGGGATTTGTCTCTCTCTCACACACTCCCTCACACAGACACACACACACACGCTCCCTGGTGGGTTCCTGTCTGTTTCAGTGTGAGAGGAGGGAGTGTGTGACAGTAACGAGGTGGACACAGCGAATGTTGGGAAATAGAGCGGAGAGAAATCCCCAGACGCTCACTCACACTCAGTTCCACTCGCCATCGGACCTCATGAGCGTCACTTTACACTCAACTTTCCAAATTGAATCTCTGTCTCTTCTGTGAAATTAAATAAAAAAAAAGTTTGCATAACTCAAAACAAATCTGAATGTCTGTCCATCATTATTTCAGAGAATAAAAGATGTGTAACAATGTGCAGATTTTATGACACGATACGTATTGTTGTTGCTGCGCCACAATACGATACTTTTGATACAGAATTAGAACAGAAATGCTAAAAAAAAAAACTGTCAATTTCAAGACTTTTTTTTCTTGTAATTTCCACTGCTGTATTTAAACGACAACATTGTTTAAGAGAATAATTAGCACAAATTCATTTAAAAGACATAAATAAAAATAATATAAACAAAAGTGTAATATCTACACTCTTAGCAAAAAAGGTTCATTATAGTATCAAAAGTGTTCTTAGGCTTGTAACAATAGTGGAACCCTTTTCCAAAAGGCTTTTATATAAAACCATCTACAACACATTCTCCATCAGTCTGAAGAACCATTTAATGATGCAAAGAACCCTTATTCAAGCAAAGGGTTCTTTGAGTGTTCCTGGTTCTATAGAGAATAATTTTCTTTACTTAAGAACCCTTAAGTAAGTGAACTGAGCATTACCAGTTCATTTACAATCTGATCTTGTTTTTCTGAGGGTCCGTTTTCTACCTTCTGCCTGAAATGAAGGAGAGAGGAGATTTTCTGAGGCTCAATCTATTCCCAGAAAACTGCGTAACCTATGACCGAATAGAGGGGGACTCTATGAACAAACAGAGAGGGCAATCTATGACCAAAGAGACGACCAGAGGGGGACTGTACAGCTGAACAGATGGGGGCTTTAGGACTGAAGAGACGACAGAATAGAGGGGGACTCTCGGACTGAAAAGGCAACTCAATAGAGGGGGGCTCTACGACTGAAGAGCCAGCAGAATAGAGGGGGACTCTAGGACTAGAAAGGCGACTCAGTAGAGGGGGACTCCACGACAGAAGAGCCGACCGAATAGAGAAGGACTCTAGGACTGCAAAGGTGACTCAATAGAGGGGGACTCTACGACTGAAGAGCCGACCGAATAGAGGGGGACTCTAGGACTGCAAAGGTGACTCAATAGAGGGGGACTCTACGACTGCAAAGGTGACTCAATAGAGGGCGACTCTACGACTGCAAAGGTGACTCAATAGAGGGGGACTCTACGACTGAAGAGCCGACCGAATAGAGGGGGACTCTAGGACTGCAAAGGTGACTCAATAGAGGGGGGCTCTACGACTGAAGAGCCGACCGAATAGAGGGGGACTCTAGTCTCCAGGAAAAGGCGACTGAATAGAGAGGGACTCCACGACTGAAGAGATGACAGAATAGAGGGGGACTCTAGGACCGAAAAAGGCGACTCAATAGAGGGGGACACTACGACCAAACAGAGGTCGGTATTAACACCCCTACAGAGTGAGTTATCTGTTTCTCCTGTTCAGAGTCAGCACTTAGCGGCTGAGACCTGTGTTTTCTTCACGAGGCTGAAGTTCACTACCTATTCATGAGCTTTGTATCAAAAGTTTCCATTCCACCTTACATGGAGCAGCAGTAACATGTGATGTCACATGCTACACCATTTAATGTGGAATGAAAATTTGAATAACAAACTAATTTCAGCTTCATATTTTCTCCTCACTCCAGTAACGGACATATTTGGGTGATGTCTTCACAAATGAGCATATTTGTAGTATTAACACAGGTAACATTGCTTGACCCTCATGTTAAGCAATGTTATCACCGTTTGGTCTACTACTTTTAACCTATCATTACTGTACTCGACTGAGAAACCTCACCATTTCAAACAGGGTAGGTAATTAATCATCCAAGGTAGGCTATCCAAACCATGTTCCCCCCAGTTTCAAGACCTGTGCAGTGGGCAGAATTATTTATTTATTTATTTTTGTGATTATCAGTTTTAGGGGAAGATCATGGATTGTGTTAAGTAGAACTATAGAAACCACTCCCACTATTATGCATTTTATTACATGAAACTGTATTGAATTTACAGCAACCCCCATATTAAAAAAAAATTTGATTACCATACATATAGTGACATTCCAGAGACCAATATCAAACCATTAGTATCAGTCAACAGCGATCGTTTTTTTCTACACTATAAATTAAGCAATTTTTAACTGAAGTATTTCACTTTCAAGTGAAAGTATTTTCACTGACATCTCCTCATGCACTGCGAGTGATATTTCGGAGTAGATTTGTTACATGACTGAATCAGATTCATTCTTTTTTTCCTCCGACAGCCGATCTTGCTGATTACATTGACACCAATATCCTGAAGTCACCTTTAGTTGTTAGAAATCATGTATCGAAAATCCACGGTTGATTTTGCAATTTATTGTCAAGTTAGAGATTTTTAAAAAGGGACAAACGATAAAACTATATCCTTCTACATAATGAAAAATACTTAATGGAAAAAGATGGCCTTAGAAAATCTTCATATATATATATGAAGTCTGCCCTGTGGAGCAGACCCCATGGGGGCCCTGACCACTGAAAAACAGGGTAAAAGGGGGCTAACAAAGTATGCAGAGAAACAGATGGACTACAGTCTGTAACTGTAGAACTACAAAGTGCACCTATATAGTAAGTGGAGCTGATAAAATGGATGAGCATAGAAACAAGGAGGTGGTCATTATGATGTGCCTGATCGGTGTGTGTGTGTGTGTATATATATATATATATATATACATATACATACACACACACACACACACATTATAAAATCACCTGTCTAATGTTCCTTGTAGAAACAGTGAAATAGTTCCACATAGCCACCCACTTCAACTGTTTGAACATACCTATACTGACTAATGCAGAAGAGCAAAGAAATGAATTGGGTTAATAATCTCTATTTGTTTTATTTTCATTATTTTCACTCAAATCATTTGAAAAGTATTCCTATTTTCGCACTTTGTTGTCCTATTTAATTGTTTTCTGGCGTATTTTCACTTTCAGCTGCAAATTTCAGGGCGTCTCTATAAAAATATCGAAAAATATTATTTGGCAAAAATGCATTTGAATGGGTGTGTAGAAGAGGGACAATTTAAAATACGCACTATCATCATGCAGGCTGCCAACTAATCACTCATCTAGTGTGTCTCTTCTAGTGTGGAAGAATGACCAGTGACTGACAATGTGAATTGCCGGCTATTACCCATGAACGTAATCAAATTAGATAGCAGGTGCGTACATTTAAAAGGAGGCAGTTAAATATGTTCAAGTTATAGGCACATTAGTGAGTGAGAGAGAGAGAGAAAATGAATAAAAACGTAGCATCTCAAGAGAGCCGATATCTCCCACTGTATTAATAACCAGTCATTTCGTATTACCACTCCTGCTGATAAAACAACCTAATTGCTTTTGTTGTGTGATTTTTCATTTTGCAGCTTTTCTTCCTCCTCTCATAATTGGAAAACTCCAGAGCACCTCGAGATCATAACGATAATTATGACATGCAACACAATGAGGTAAATTTAGAAAAGACCACTCTTCGGCTAAATGAGATTACAGTGGAGGGAGGCTGAAGACCGCGTGAGTGAACGAAAACAGAGTCAACGGTGTTGTGACCAGTACAGAGTGTCAATGAGGCGCTCGGAAAATCAGTTAGAGAAGTGCGAGACAGTTAAAATGATTTAGAAGAAAAGAAAAAAAAGAGAATAAAGTGAGAGAGTGAAAGAGAAGAAGGTAAATAAAGAGAAAAAGGGAAATGAAGAGAAAGAGAAAGAAAAGAGAGAAGGATTAAAGAGTGTTTGCTTCATTTGGTGAGAAAAAGGGAGGAAAAAGGTTTCATTTCATTCTCCTCTACTCCTAAATTGCTGTTCCTGATATTTGATGATTTAAACTGACTTGTCTCTTAATTGAAATCTGTTCTTGTTGAGTGAGTGAGTGAGTGAGTGAGTGAGTGAGCGAAGAGAGAGAGAGAGAGAGAGAGAGAGAGAGAGAGGCATAATTTCTTTGCTGTTGGTGTGCAGACAGTTTGGAGAGTTGAGCTCACAGTTCTCGTTCTGAGTGATCTCACCTTTCTGTGTTTCAGCTGTATGTATGACGTTGTTGTTAACGGGTGTAGACTGAGCTGTTTTGTTTGGCCGTCCTTTCCTGCTGGACACTGGAGTTACAGGAGCTGGCAGAGCAAACCCGCTCCCGTCTCGACTGGGCGCCGCTAAATTCTCTTTATTCTCTCTGGTGCGCTCACGTTTCTCTGTGTTCCGTGGGCGTGGCTTCCTTTGGTCAATGACAGGGGACTGGCCTACCTCGCCCTGCCTCTTTTCAGATGACTGACAGGGGGGTTTCTGAAAAAAAAAAACAGAGGAATAAAATTAGGGATGCACCAATATGGAATTTTCTAGGTCGATGATAGCAACTGATAATTAACAACAATACCAATAACCAATCATTTTAGGCTATTTGTTTTGCAAGTCCATGCAATATGAAGCAGTATTCACTTGCAAGATGAAGTGAGTGTAAGACAGGTTAAAACTAGGGATGTAACTGATTAACTGATATACTGTTAATCAACAAACAAACACCTGCTCAACCAGTGATACCAGTTAAAGAATATAAGTTTATTTTATTTCCAATAAACACCAGTTCCTTTTTGAATAGACAGGTTTATCACTCAAACTGAGGAATGAATGCATGAGGGCACCACAGGTAATTCTACTTGAGAGATCTAATAAAATGAAACGTGCAGCTTAAACAGTGGTGGTCAGGACCACTTCCTGAGCTAGTGCCGGTCATGGCATCTACGCTGTATGCTTTAACTTGGTCAAGTGATGAGTGGTAAACAACTTCAGAGCACAGAAGATTCAGTAGCTCATCATTATATGTTCCAGTCATTTTGTCAACTTTCTAGTTTTGGGCCGTGTAATAATGACCGTATAGGTTTAGCCCCTGAGTTTAATGTTTAATATGTTTTTGGGCTGACTGCTTCACATATACGCTGATGCCTGGCCTCACCTGCCAGTCCTACGTTCCATGGTTCGTATAAGCAATACTTTTTAATATCTTGGTGCATTAATACAGAATTCAGTTCCTGCATGAGCACTTTGGTGTGCATATATGAAGTATTTTACAACTGCTCAGAACACAGCTCAGCCAAACAGATTTAAGGACTGGAACTCTCTGTATAATAACTTAACCCTTAGAGCGCCAAGCCATTTTACCGTATTTAAGCTCACAGTGTATCCATTTCTGACTGCACTATGTAAGTTCCGCAATTCTATAGAACCTAAACCAGATATGTAGGGATCATTTATACATCTCTGGGATGCAGTATTACACATGTTTAATTAAATAAATGAAACACAAGAAAATGAAAAATATTGTTAAATATATTTCTTTAAATTTGAGCACATCAAAATGTGAAATCTCTTGAAACAAAACAGCTCTGAAAAAACCTAGAGACCACACACGATTTTTTCAAGAAACAGTGTAGATGTTTTGGCATGGTCTTCAAAGGTTCTCTTTATACAGGCCCTTAGGTGGCACCAGAAGCTTCGTTCTTCCCTCTGCGGTCTGCAGGATTAGGCGGTTTGAAAATGAGGATTGACAAAGAAGTATTTCTCATTGGCTTCTGGAACCAAAGCGATGACACTGATGAAGTGAAACATAAAATTTCATTAGCTCAAGTGAGTTAAGTGCCGAACAAACTCAAAACCAGTGTAAATGTGTGATTTTAATGAGCCTATCTAGCTTAGTTTTGCTTAGACCAGGAGTATCCAGCATTATCCACAAAGTGCCAGTGTAGCTGCAGGTTTTCACTTCAAACAAACTGGAGCACGCCTGATTCTACTTGTTTAATCCGTTGGTCTTAGTCTTCAAATATATCATCAGGTGATCTGCTTTGAGTGAAAAGCTGCAGCCACACCCGCAGATAAGACTGGACACCCCTGGCTTAGACTATTGAAAGTTAGCCACGAGACGTAGAGAATCCATTCAGAGCTCGTCTTCTCCACTGAAATCTCCAGAATATGATACATTTTACCAAATCTCTCTTTGACAATCAATCACCTTATGGCAACTGTTTTAAGAAAATATGCACACTGTCAACTAATGATAGTTGGTTATCAATACAATAAAAAAAATAACAAAAATCTTTCTCTATCTCTATCTGCCTCACATTTTGGGTTTTGGAAGCCAGAATTCTGACTATTGGCAGAAAGTCTGGCAGCTTTCTTCGCTTAGTGTTGCAAGGAATCACTTACTATAAGAGGACAGGGACAACTGTTACTGTACACACTGAACTTTCGGTACAAGTGCAGTTTTATTGTTCTCTACTGAAAGAGTGAAATGTCCACCCTGCAGCATCAAACTGGAACTACACACACACACACACACACACACACACACACACACACCAAAAGTGGAGCACTAGTTATTGTTCTTCAGCCATGACTACAAAGTCTCACAGACAGTGATGAAGTAACTGTTTATCAGTGAATAATGTATTGTACATTTTTTAGTCACATCGTGAATAACGACAGATAAAACACACTGGTGAAAGACAGTTAACTAACACAGCACGAGAGAGAGGAGTTTTTGGGCATGTGTGTGTTGAGATCGTACTTACTGTGCGTGGAGTGTGTGCAGTCTGCGTGTTTTTGGGCGTTAGGGGGATCCATGCGTTGTCGTCGTCATAGCAATCAGCAGGGAAAACCATGGAGCCCCGGTGCGCACCATCATCATTATCATAGTCATCGTCATCATCCTCATTAAAATGCAGACTCTTCTTCAACTGTGAGAAAACACACACACACACACACACACCTCAAATCACTGAACAGCAAAATATTCAATACAGAGAATCACTTTTCAGGCAGCTGTGACAGCTGTGCTGGTATTTCAATGAATAGAAACAGCAATGCAGTACAACATAACCAATCAAAATGTAGAGACATCTAGCTTTTAAATACAAATCCAGTCTTTGTCATTTTGTAACATCTTAACAAAATAAACAGCCTGTATCCTTCATTTTCCCTGTGTTTTATTTTTCCACTTATGTGAGTTTATGTACCCAAATCAGTCATAATGCTCTTGTCGTGTCATATCGCCCAACCCTACTATAGGGTAAAGCTCTGTAACACTCAGATATAGTACGTCCTAAGTGAATTTTGATCAAGATTATATTATTATATACACCGCGCTATATATATATATTTAGTGCAATGACTCTGTAGATGATAATCATTTGTCTAAAGCTGTTCTTTACATGCTATGTAAACATTTAATCCGGTATATCGTGTAAATTAAGGTAATCTTACCTGCATTTCTTGCAGAGGGGAGCAGGCAAGGTCTTGTGCTGGCATCTCCACTCTGAGCCGGACTGGCCTGCCACGTTGCTTCTTAGCCAGCAATAACAGATACGTAGCTGTGGTGTGGTCATACTTCCACTAAACGCACACAAAGACTAGAATTAATCTCTTGAACCAGGTAAGACATAAATTACATCTCTGTGAAAAAAGACCTTTTAATGAACTACATAAAAAATGTATTAAAAATATACAGAAAAATGACCATTTTAACCCTAATGCCCAATCGCTGAACTCTTGATTGAACCAGTTACTATTAAACGGAACTGTCCATGGCAGAAAAAAGGAGAATGGTGGGATAAAGAGAGTTCTTAAGCATGATCTGGTTAGTAATGCTTTACTGCCATCTAGTGGTCCATAAATATCTGGGAGACCAGTTTTGAAGGCAGGGAAAAATGAGGTGCACAGTTACATAGAAGCTGTTCCTATTTTCTGTTCTCTGACTAATAGTGAAGAAATCAAACACATATGGATTTAGTCTAGTTAGAAATAAATAAGGCCTTACCACACAACAGCTGACCGGCTCAAACACATTAACAACTTCCCATCAATTAACATTTACAAGAAAACTACAGTAAGTAAAAGGATGGTTGTGGTTAAACAATTTCCATCGTTAAATTTCAACTGTGGTTGGGAAGAATTTCCTAAAAGCAAATTAAAATTTTTATCACCACACATTTAATACAGTGTCCAAACTTATTTGGAATGGTAGGGAAACTGTGTGTCCAGCCACAACAACTGAAGTGAACAGCTCACTAGCTAAAACAGAAGAACCTGTGCCAGCATCCGCAATATCATCTGCTCTTCACAGATCTGGCCTCTATGGGAGAGTGACCAGAAGGTAGCCACTTCTGAGAACAGCTAACAAAGGCAAGCCTGGAGTTTGTATATACAGGACTTCGCAAAAGTGAGACCAAACATATTTAAAAAGAAAATAACTCTGAAGACTCTTTAACAACTAAATATAAAACCACAATTTTCAGTATTCAGTTCGTAGCAGGGCTGAACGATTAGAAGAAAACATCAAGATTTTTCTTACCAATATTGTGAATGCAATTTAAATTGCTGTAATTTTCTACAAAATAAGGTCTATTTTTTTTGGCCAAGAACACCAGCAAATCCAGTTCATCTGGCTTGAAGCTTGAACACTGAATGTAGTGCACCAGACTACCAGTTGCGGTTGTGATGTCACTTTTGGTTACTTCTTATTGGCCTAAAGGTAGATTATAAGCTCTATGTTATTGGGTTAGATGTCCCCACTCAAAATTTGTTCAGACAACACTGTTGATAGTGTAGAATAAGCTACAACCAAAAAAAAAAAACATGCGACTCTGATATAAAACGGTTAATCTTTCAGCCCTTATGTCTACATTATATGCCTTTATTACACTGGATGTGTACCTGTTGGAAGACATAAAAAACTCAAAGGGACCTTCTGGAGGCACTGTATGTTTGCGACCTGTGTCTGATCTTACCTCTGACACCAGCTGGATGGTTCTCTGTTTGGACTGTTTGAACGCCACAGCCATCTCAGTGATACAGTCTTCATCTATGTGACCCAACTGACACAGACAGACACATAAGTACAGATCCACAGGTCTAAAGCAGCATTAAGGTCATTTATCTACAACGACTTTACATACATATTACACGCATGTAGCAATCTACTGATTATTCTGACGCTTTATCAAGAAACCTGTTTTTTAAAAAGGTCAAACAATAAAAATGGACACAACTGAACAATGAAGAACTATATACGGTCATTCAAAGATTCCAATATACAGGAAAAAGATAAACTATGAAGGTTATAAAAAGGCTCGATTAAAAGTATATTTAAAGACACTATGTGGTGAAAAAACTGTATATGCAGTACTTTGCAGAAGTGAGACCAAGCAATATTTAAAAGAACATTACACAGATGACTTATTAACTAAATATAATATCACATTTTTCAGTATTTAGTATGTCTACACTTTGCCTTTATCACAATCTGCAGGAATGTTTTTCCACATCTCCAAAGTTCAGTCTTAGAAGTTGGTTGCATTTTCTGCTTCTCATGTTCCGAGTAATCCCAAACACGTTCAGTGATGTTGAGGTCTGGACTCTGGGGTGGTCAGTCCACTGTTCTGAGAACACCAGTAGCTTCTTTGTTTGATTTGCCCAATTACTACTTCTTCATTTATTTTAGCTACACATCCTTTCAGACTCACAGTGCTGAGTCGTCTTCTCACAGTGGAGGGATGGACAGAAACACCTGTGGATGTTTTCAGATCTGAATTCAGAGTGGAGCTTGATTTTCTTCTCTGTCTCAAAGATGAAAGCTTTAAGTGCTGTTTATCTGATGGGGACAGTTTTGAGGATCTACCAGGTCTTGCAGGAGGATGTTAGGAGTCTCATCTTCTCTGTAGCTTTTAACCATTTTTTAAACTCCAGTTTATGATATACCTGTTTTTTTATTTATTTACTCCATTATGCAAGTGGATTATCTTATATCTAATCTCCAGAAATATCTCCTGAAAAATTAATCACTCGTACTTGATGGCTGTTTTGACTGGAATTAAAGGGTGGTCTCTGACCTTTGCACAGTACTGTAAATGGGTTTATCTGTATATGGGCTCTGTTTCTGCTTACCGAGCAAAAATGTAAATATACACTGGCATCACAAAAACTGCCAGCTAATCACTGCTGATTCACTGTGAAGGCACATTTTAAATCAATGATTTTTGTAATAATAATAATAATAATAAATGCTGAAGTGATTAATCGACAGAGTCCTACTACTGACTCCTAAATATGTCTACGCTACATATACTTCTTTCAATCGCAGCAATGCCCTCACGTGGATGGATTCCACTGCCCAAACTCAAACCTTTCCTCAAAATCTAGTCTGATAACTCCAGTCTACCAGTAATTTTTGGACTGCAAATGTGTGGAGGTTGCAAACGGCCCCCATGTACTAAACCTCATTCATGTTTAATAGCATACGCCACATTTGAGCGAATGGGTTACAGACACAATCAATGAAAAATGTATGAAAGGTCAGCAACAATCAATAAAGGGCTCCTGCGATGACGCTCCCACTGATTCAGCAGAGTGACGCAGAGATCACTATTGGGCTCTTTTACTAAATCAATACCGCACATGAAAAACTGAAGCTTTATGAAAGCCTGAAGAACTCTGGGAACAATGGAGGAGGACACAACTGTGAATGAATTCAACATTAATGAGTAATTACTGTCATGACCCCGTCCTCTCCTGAGTACTGACACCTACTCCCAATAACCACAGACACTACTCTGTGTGTATATTTACTTCTGGGTTTGGTTTGCTGCTTCGCAAAGTCTTTCAAACAGTAACCCTGAGCGATTCTGCTCTTTTTTAATGTTCCAAGTGTTTATAGTGTTTGTAATTTTGGCTGTAATAAAACGATACAAGGAATTTCAGGTATGGTCCTTTTACTCCTGCCAGTAAATTAGATCAAAATGTCATAATTACATAAATTATGTCAATGTCATAAAAACAGGCTCAGGATTTTCAAACTGATAATCTGTGTAAAAACCAAAATGGTATGTACAGCACAGTGCAGAAGTCAGAGACCACCCTTCATTTATTCCAGCCAAAACAGCCATTATTCATTTCTCAGTAGATTTTTCTGAGAAGATTAGAAATTAGATAACAAGAGTTTCCAAAACATCCTAAAAAACTACAGGACAAAAATGGGCCCCCTAAAAAAAACATACAAGACCTGGTAGACCACCAAAACTGCCCCAGTCAGATAAACAGCACTTAAAGCTTTCATCTCTGAGAGAGAGGAGAAAATCAAGCTCCAGTCTTATTTCAGATCTGAAAACATCCACAGGTGTTTCTGTTTAACCAAGCAAACAACATCAACATTTATTTTTATAGCGCTTTTTACAACTGGGGTTGTCTCAAAGCAGCTTTACAGAAAAGAAAAAAAAAAAATGTAAACCTGCAAAATCAAACAATGAACAAAACAGTGAGCTGTCCACTCCACACCTCAGTCCACATCACAACATCACCGAATGTGTTTGGGATTACTTGGATTGTGAGAAGCAGAAAACAAAACCGGCCTCTGAAGACTGAACTTTGGAGGTGTGGAAAAATATTCCTGAAGATTTCCTAAAAGGGTTTCCTGACAAGAATGGAAGCTGTAATAAAGATAAAGTGTGCACACACTAAATGCTGAAAAAATTAATATTATATTAGGTTACTGAGGCTTTTTTCCTGATGATGAAAAATGAATAATTATTCAATATAATAAAAAATAAAACTGTTTCTCCATCAGCAATTTCTACTGAATAAATGTTTACTGATTTAAAAATAATAATAATAATAATAATAATAATACTACATGTTAAATATTGCACTGAATGCCTTCCAGTAAGAGCATTAAGGAGATTAAAGCAATTATAACACTGAGAAAAAGGTCCGTATTTGCATAAAAATCTGTATAAATCTGTATAAAAAGTCTGTATTAAGTCTGTTATGTGCTTACGCTGCACATTCAATATGTCAATCCTTTATTTCCCTACATTACTTATGTCAAACACAAAACGTGCATTACTGACTGGAGTGAGGTTTAACTGCAGTGAGAAGATCAGTTCTGATATGTTGATATGGACCCAAGTCTTTATTTTTTTTCTTCCCTGTAGTTCATTAACTATCAAGGACGCATGAATATTAAAATTAATTAACGTACATCCTGTTATAACACTAGTATACAGAATGTAGCTGTGTTACCGGGCGCGTGCTGTGCCACTCCACAGGGCTGCTGTAGCCCTTCATCACCCACGGATGGGCCAGCAGCTGCCTCACCGTCAAACGCCTCTTTGGTTCCACCTACAGGACAAACATGGGAACTACAGTTGGACTTTCCTCAGAAGAGAAAAAGCAGTACAGCACAGAGATCAGTGTAAATGATTAAGCTCACTCTTACATTCTCATACTACATACCTGCATCATTTGGTTTAGGAGCAGTATGCTACCAGGAGACAGCCAGCGGGGGCTGTCATAATGGCCTTTCTGAAGAAACACAAAGCAAAGCAATCGCATTGAACTTAAAGGGGGATTGTACTGTTTGTTTCTAAATGTTTATATAATTCAATCACTGAAATGTACACAAAGTCGTTCAGAGTGGTCAGATGAAAAATGCTTTGTTCTTGAGAAACTTGCTGAGCCAGAACTGTTCAGAGTGATGGTGACAGGAACCAGACATCTGCTCTAAAAGCTCCTTAACAGAATGTTAGCACAAGAAACGGCTTTCAAAAAAGCTGACTGATGCCTGAGACATTGATTTAAGTAAGGCTTGAGAATGTTTTGGCCTAAAAAGTATATTTTTTGTAATCCATTCATGGTCGAGAGGTACATGCAGCCCATTGTGAGGCAAAATAGACCCTAATCAAATCTTACTTTTCCAGATTTTACCACCATCAATATCACATCTAAAGACTCAGAAAGCACATGTAGGTTCACTTGTGTTTTTGGACAGTAAATTAAATGGCTATATTTTTGCAGCAGATATCAGACTCAGTACTTTTCTCTAGAATGGAGCATTTCATGTCAAACCACTCTAAATGACTTTGTTGACATCTCAACCACTGAATTATGCAGATATTTTGAAAAATCGGTTCCCTTTTTAAAACTAATTCAAATTACAAAGTACAAATCAGCTCAGGTGGAGACTAAAACCTACTGTGATTTTTCTGTAGAGGACCATACAGTTATCATCATCAAATGGGAGGTAGCCACACAGAAGAGCAAACAGCAGCACACCCATACTCCAAACATCTGCCTGAAACACACAGACACAGAGTAAACAAGAGAAATAAAGGTCAGGTTAAGCTGGGTGTAAACTACACAATGTTTTTGGCCCCTTTTACAAATATTCACAATCTGAAGAGGTTCCAGGTTGGAGTGCTCGATCCATAATGGCACAGAGGATCTGGTAAAAACTTTTTCTAGTGAAAATGTAGCAATTATCAGTTATATTGTTAGCTATGCTAAAGCTAGCTGCTGCCCGTCACTTTAGCTTGGTTGATTTACTGCAGCAGGTTCCAAAGCACATAATTTACTCTTTTTCTATATAATACAGAGCATCTAAAGAGACATCTAAAGTGTTTACTGTTTAATAAGGTGAGGCCACAAACTAATATATTCAGGCCACAAACTTATATAATGAGGTCACAAGTTAAGTTTCTCGTTGCCACGGGGCTTCAATATTAAAAAATAATCACCATGTAACCTTAGGGCAGGAATGTCAAACTGGGGACCTTCCAGGCCGAAGTGCTGCAGAGATTAGCGTTTACCCTAATCTACCGCTCTGAATTCAGCTAACGAAGGCCTTGCTATTTGCTGAGCTGAATCAATTAATGAGGCAGTGTGCTGCAGTCTGCAGTGTTTTGGCCTGTGAGGACTGAAGCCTGACACATAATTATCTATAAGATAAGCATAATGTAATGTAAAATAAGTACAGAGTGAAGAACCAGCATCACAGTGCGTAGCAGAGAAAACTAACTGGTAATTCCTTAACAAATCAATCCCTCTCTTGCTCTCTCTCTCGTAAACAAAAGATAACTGACTACACACTTCTTAAAGAAACTTCCCAAAATATGTACTAACTGTTCAACAGTAACTTTGTCCCAAAACAGCGATTATCGCCATCTGGGCATCACTACTGAGTTACTCGTCAATTATCAACAATATCCAATTACATCACCCCATCGCCCAGGCCTAGAGAAACACATGTATTCTTACCTCAGAACCAATATATGACTTGCCCTGGATGAGTTCTGGAGCTGCGTAGGCTGGGCTTCCACAGCAGGTCATCAGCTCATAACCCAAACCGCCCTACAGCACAACATAGCATGTTCACAAGCCAAATCTCTCAATAATCCAACAGAATGTTTTCATTAACCAGTACTAGTATGTATTTCTGCCAGGCCACTGCAGTCATAAAGACAGATGATCTATGCCTGTGGTACATTTGAGCATCTCTGATTAAAGATACAAATGCGGCATGAAGTCTGAACAGAGCACCTCATTGTGGGCATGTGTGCTTTCATTACGTAACAACTGCATTTTTGTGCTCATTGCACTTTTTTAGAGGAAAGGTTAATCTCAAGAAGAAAGTTTCCTGATTTAAATCCAATAAAAAATAGACTTCACTTGCTGTAAAGGAAGTTAGAAAACGAATGTGAAAGAGCCACAGCCTAAATATACAGTTATTAAGGAAGTCCTACATAGTGCACTCTTACTTTATATTCTTTTCCCTGAGGTCAACTTATAACATTTCTGTGGTTTAATGTACTAAATAACATTCATTTTATAATCATTTTCCAATATCTGTTTATCCCTTAGAATTAAACAGGTTGTGAGTTTAAAAATGATATGTCTATGAGCTCTGTTCTGATTGGATGCCCTGTACTATGTCTTGAGCCACAGTCACACTGAATGCGAGTAAAATCCGCCTGGTAAAAGCCAATATTTAATTGAATGGGAAAGAAAAATTTATTTGTTTCCACTAGTGTTAAATTTTGAATTCACCTATGTGAACTTTATCCCCATGAATTTGCAAATCTCAGGAACGCCAGTCAAAAGAAAACAAGAGAATGAGAATTTCTGAAAATGCTAAACAGAGTCAACAAATTGTCACTTAAAACGTCACTCAAAGTTACCCCCACAAAAAAAAACAAAAAAACAAGACACCTAGTTAAGCAGCTAACCTTAACTGTTTACCGAACAATGCATTGTAAACACGTTGGTTTTTGTGAGGCCTGTACGGACTGGAGAGTGAACAGCACTTTTCAAACAATTCTGACACACATCGCCACATGCGCACCAAAGCCTAAAGATGAAAACAAACCTTTGGTTTGGCACAGAGGCCAAAATCAATCAACTTCAGGTTGTGATCTTCATCAATCAGCAAGTTTTCCTAAGAATAATATAAATACACACAAACATTACATCTAAGAAAAAGAACATTCTTCGAAAGAAAAGGCTCAAAATGCAGTAAGCTCCAATATGGAGATCTGGCTGACATACCGGCTTGAGGTCACGGTGGGCGTATCCCTGGCTGTGGACGTAGGCCAAAGCTGAAACGATCTGACGGAAGAACACTCGAGTCTCCTCCTCAGATAGCCGATCTTTGGCTACAATATAATCAAACAGCTCTCCTCCAGGACAATACTGAAAGAGAGAGAGAAAGAGAAAGAGAAATGTACAGTAGTGTCCAAAAGTGCAAAACTGAAAAAAGGGTATGTAAAATGAATTAGCTAGACATTCAGCATTTGTTCATATAAGAAAATAATGTTAACATACAAATAAAGAAATAAACAATACATTGTTATTTCATGCAGAGACATTATGAAGGAGGAGGAGACAGTGGACTGGTAGAAAAATGAGAGCTTGAAACACTCAACACAACGTCTGTGTGCAGAGAAAGTCCCACATTTTAAAGAACCCATATTCTACTTATGGTGTTTTATGAACCAAAAAGAGTGATAATTCATTTTCACATCACCATTTTCCCACCTCTCTTTATCACACTGAATAAAGCAATCTTTTTAGTTATTGCGCCTTTAAGACTGGTATATGTAAATGAGCTCTGTTTTGATTGGCAGCCCTGTATTGTGTCTCGTTAAAAGCAGCTTGGGCTGAAAAGCTCCTTGTAACTCCAGTGTAAATGGTCAGGGCTTGACTGCTGTAGGCTGAATAGGCAGGTATATGCAAATTAATAGGTTTTTGTGACATAAAAACAATGATTTTTAAACAGGCTGACTTTGCATCTTAGTTTTCCTATACGGACTGTACGCACTGGGGAGTGAATGGTTCATTTCAAAACTTTAACAACAGAGCAAATTGGTTTGCTGGTTGAGCCGCAAGTGTAAAAAGCCCTCCTCGTTGTGGAGATACGCGCATTAGCCAAAACATTATCTGACGATACAAACTACTTATTCAAAAAGTGAGAAGTCTGCACTTGGAAATAACTGGAAACTTACCCAGGAAGTGACTGTCCGGGGGGAACGGCAAATGCCATGCAAGTACGTTAGTTCAACCATTTCCAAATCTCTCTTTGAGGAAGTCCAGTATTTATAATTACTATTCAATACCTAGGTTTATCAATCTTTCTTTAAATATAAACGTAATCAGTTGTGCAACTAATGGAATTAAACTAATCCATACAATGGCTAGAATGCGGCAAGAAGTAGGAACCAAACTTGTGCTCTTCTAACCAACATACTAATTACTTTTCAGAAGAATATAAATTCTTATTACTTTTTACTGTATGTGTATTTGTATTTATTCAAATGTTACAGACTGTTTTTACTGGAATAAAACACATTTACTGCCAAGAAGTAGCTTTAAACAAGACACTGGCACAGTACTGTAACTGTCAGCACAGGAAATAACCAGCCCAGCCTTAATCAAGTCTGGTGGCCTTACAAATACAAATGTTTGGATTTTTGTATGACCCCATTTTCCCTTTCAAAAAGTGGACAGTTAAATACCAATGCCACATTTATCACTTTAGAATAGTTACACAATGCAGACATTTATGCTTGTTGCAGGATAACGTCCTTTGAAATCACATGTATGACAGTGATGTAAATCAAGTACAGAGGGCTAAAGAATCAGAACTGTATCAGACATAATACAACCAATATCATCTAATAAAAAAGCCTTGATTAGCTCCAATACAGGTCACTGGGAAAGGTTCAGGACAGATCTAAAGGTGTACACAAGCATTATAGACAGGATGGACAGGGCTGTGGCTGAGCAGCCTGTACTGCACTATACAAGTAATAACACTTAACCACATGACAACTAACTGACCAAGTCAATACAGGCACGTACCTCAAGCACCATGTATATCTTGCTGGTCGTCTCAATGACATGGTAAAGGCGACACACATGCTGATGGCTGAGGTTCTTCATGGCTTCAATCTCCGTCTTCACACGAGGCAGGTCATCCTACAGAGTCGTAACAGTGATCACTTTACAACACTGACTGATCTTAAAACATTCAAAAGTACCATTACTGTCTCCCACTAAGAGAAAAAAGGGTTTGTGAACTGCTACTAAAACCAATATCCTTCTTAGCTTTGAATGAGGCTTAATATAGTGTGAAAAAGGTATCAATGCAGTTTTATAAATTATTTTACAGTAGGACTGGAAAATACAACACAAACACTATATGGCCAAAGGTATGTGGACACTCCTAAATATAGAGTTCGAGTGTTTCAGCCAGGTGTATTTATTGCCATTATTGTGAAATAGAAGCATTTAGGAACAACAACAGCTCAGCCACAAAGCAGCAGACCATGCAAACTCACAAAGCACAGAGCATAAAAATCACCAATCCTCTGTTGTATCAATCACTACAGAGCTTTAAACGGCCCTTGAAGCAATATTAGCACAAGAGCTGTGCATTGTGAGCTTATGAAAATGGGTTTCCATGACAAAGCAGCTGCATATAAGCTCAAGATCACTATGCGCAATGCCAAGCGTCTGCTGGAGTGGTGTAAAGCAACAACCACTGAGAGACAGAACTATTAAACAACATCTATTTTTTTTTAATAATTGTGTTTTTTCTGTTCCTTCTTCAGTGCCTTATTTCTGTTTAAACACTTATTAAAAAAAACAAAAAAAACACTGCACTTAGTGTTTTAAAAAATGTTCCAACTTTTCCAACTTTATAAAACTCAAGAAAATTACATTTTGAAACTTGTGATTAGAGCCAGAATGACATGTCAGTTGTCCAATAACATCAATTGATTGTGACGACTTCCAGTTTTATAGGAACTGGCAAAAATATTGGCGATAATTTGCCAATATTAGAAACTTTTTTGGTCACAGAAACGATTGCAATCTCCCACTTGTGCCATTGGGGAACCCAATATGAGTCACTGCTGTTTAACAAAACCGCAAATAATTCTAGATATATTTATATGAAGACTGTGAGTTTCTGATTATTTGAGTTTAACCAGTGTGACAACTGAGAACTGACAACCTTTGACAGTAAAGCACTGTTTACAACAACTGGATTACAACATTAACATCTACAAAACCATACTGACCAATATTATCAGGTATCTGGCCTTAATATCTGTACCTACCCCAAAACCTTCATATTGGTTGGGCCCTAATCGTGACGTGTATTGTGCATCATAAAAATGTCTTCAGGTATTGAGATGTTACGTTTTTGCCATATTGCCCCCCGGTATTTTACAGTGAGGTTAGTTCCTTAACGATAGTAAAGAGGAATAGTACAGAAGCTCCAACTCACCCCAAGGTCTTTCTTCTCCATTATCTTGATGGCCACTTTCTCTCCTGTCAGAATGTGTCTGCCTAGTTTGACTTTAGCAAAACCACCTGTGGGGTTAACGTGGACAAGCAGGTTCATGTCAAAACACTCATTCATTCTCTTTCTCTCACATACACAAAACATGACGGGGCGGGGGGGACTTACCTGACCCAATGGTCTCATAAACCTCATAGTACTTGAGGAGCTCGGAGGTGTTGTCCACAGGCATGTTCACAAACAGCTCACACCTGCAACACACAAGACTTCTGAGTAGATGCTCAGGCATGCATTATTTACACTAAAGCCCGACTCATAAACTATGATATCGGCCAACACCTAAAACCTGCAGCTTTATCAGCAGTAAAGTGCCAATACTTTAGCATTTTTTCCTTTCTTTGGTTGTGGGATTCAAACTCACAGCCTCCTGATTGGGCAAAACCTCAGTAACAATTTGAACACAAAACATCATCGTAGTTAAAATAACACCAATATGTTTTTTTTTAAAAAATCTATGATACAAACTGAAGGAAAACCAAAGAATTCTGCGTAGCCCTGATCCAAGTGCTACAATACAGGTATTATATTTTTGCTTTTCTACTCTTTGAGTTCTTGTATTTTATTTTTCCCTCTGAAGTCTTAAGTATTAACAGTATGAAGTATTATGGGTCAGTCTTGGGCTAGAGGTTAGGGAACCAGTGCTGTGACCAGAAGGTTGCTGGTTCGATCCCCTGAGCCGACAGAACATGACTAACGGGCCCATGAGCAAGGCACCCAACCCCTGACTGCTGGGCGCTGCGGATAGGGCTGCCCACCGCCCTGGGCAAGTGTGCTCACTGCCCCCTAGTGTGTGTGCATTCACTAGCGTGTATGTGGTGTTTCACTGCACGGATGGGTCAAATGTGGAGGTGAAATTTCCCCGTTGTGGGACTAATAAGGGTCACTTAATCTTAACATTTGTGAGGGTACATGTTCCAAAAGTAGCCATAATTCATTTCCCATAGACATTTTCCAACCTCTCTTTACCCCCTAGAATAAAACAAGCTGTTTGTGTTACTGCATCTTTGACTCGTATTTAGATGATCTGTGTTCTGACTGGCTGCCCTGCATTGTGCCCTGTTCAAAAAGCAGTCCAGACAGAAACACCCCTCATAGCTTTAAAGGGCAGGGCTAAACTGCTGGAGGCTGATGAGTGGGATCTATTGCTGCATTAGGGGCTCATTGGAAAGTTGTATGTACCAGCAGTATTAACTAGTACATACAACTCTACTCTGTTTGGGTGCTGGTTATAAGATACTCCAAGCCAGAAAGCAAGGAGGCCAGGAGAAAACATAGTGCTTTTTCTTTGTTATATTAAAAAGCACATGGATCGCATGGAAGTGCATCAGGGTTTTTTTTTCCCAAAACACCACCAAGTTTACCATTTTTCACCAGGTGAAAGGTCACATTATAGATCACATCTCATAAACTTATGCATCATCTAGAATCCCCAGTTTTCCACTTGCAAATACAACTTTGTCGACTGTTCAAGCACAATTTACAAATAGGAAAACTGGTATTTCTTAGTTTCCAGACCCACTTTAACGCAGCATCAGTAAAGGCACTGGGTTTTTGTGACATCACATAAACTAATTCAACACAGGCTGCTTTATCAGACTAGTTTCCATATATGGGCTGTATGGACTGGGTAGTGAATGGTACGCTTGGAAACTTTAATAGTGCTTACATACTACATCAAACACTTTTATTTAAAGAAAAAAGAAGCAAAATCAGTTTTCTATAATAAAAGCCCTTTAAGAAATGTGACCATCTTATCTGACAATTCAGTTGACTGACAACTGAATCATGTCAGACAGTAAAGCACCGTTCAAATAAAATAGAGCATAAATTCAAAATATAAAACAAACACAAAATTAACTATATCAGCCTCGAAACATTCATCAGTCGAGCCACAATTTACATGATTTAAAGTGGTAAGTTAAGCGAAACAGTTCAGACCGTTTGTATAAAGCAGTGAGGCGCCCGACTGTAACTGCTTCTCCATTTAAGGTGGACCGGGAGAATTCCAGCAAGAAACTGGAGAATAAGAAGCCGACTTCGACATGAATATAATAAAAAATGTCTTTAAGGTTTTAATACTCAGCAGTCACCTAAGTTTGGGTTAATAACTAACAGTTGAGGCAGTGACGACACCTTCAGGGTCGATCAAACGAGCCGTTACCCGAACCGTCTTTCTAAAGCGACCCCACCGCGTTTCTACTCACCGCCCGTCTCCGTGACTAAAACCGGCTCAGCGTCGAGTTTAAAACTGCTTATCCTCCGTCTTTAAAGTGGAAAAACTGTAACGGTGTTTTCACTTCGACAACACCACCATCAGCAGTCAAACCACAATAAAACCAGACAGATTTTGAATTTCCCACTTGATGCGTCACGTGACGTCCTCTTCCTTTGTTATAAAATAAAAGTCCTTCTAATAACAACAAACAGCAGGCAGGGTCTCTAAAAGTCATTTGGAGGAGGTGATCATTAAACTCAACAAAAATAATATTAATAGAATTAAAGTTTTTTTAAGGCAGTTTGAATAGCAGATGGTGTTTTAAATGGGAATACCACCGATTTTTTTCAAAATACCTGCATAACTCAGTGGTTGAGATGTAAACACAGTCATTCAGAGTGGTTTGAAGTGAAATGCTTCACTGTAGAGAAACTTACTGATTTCTTTACCGTGGTGGTGACAGGAACCAGGGGTCTACAACACAAATACAGCCATTTTTTAACTATCCAAAACCACCAGTGACCCTACACGTGTTCTCTGAGTTTAAACGTAATGTTGGTGATGGTAAAATAGTCATAAATCTGAAAAAATATGTTTTCTTTTGGGACTATTTTGCTTTTGCCTACATGTACCCCTCCACCGTGAATGGATTATTTATTTAGTTATTGCATTTCGTGTAATAACTTTCTGTAAGAAGCTGTTAGAGGCATGAAACTCTTCACACGTCTGGTTCCTGTTTTTTTTTTTACATGTTATTCAATTAATTATGCAGAAAATGTGAAAGATTGGTGTAGTTCCCCTTTAACAGAATGCAAGACACAGCATAGATATGAGATGCAGATCATTGTTTTGTTAACTTACTCATTGTAGCTCTATTAAGGCATCCCAGTGGCTTACTTTTGAGCAGTATGTAATAATAATAATAATGATAATAATAATAATTGTTATTATGATAACAACGAGAAAGGGTGGTGAAAGGGGATGAAACATCACATTATAGGTTAATAATATTTATGGTGCATAGCGACGTAACCAAAAATCAGTAGACGTTTTCAAAGCAGACAGAAGTCATTATATTTGCTGGAAATATTACAAGGAAAACAGGAATTGTTGTCTTTTATAAAGTTACGGTAATGTATCTTGCTTAATGACCCAGTACACGAAACTAACTAGGTAAAAAAAAAAGTCCAGTGGAGTGAAATAAGTCCTTGTGACCTGCCATTATGGAGCGTTCACTCTGTCTCCTGCAGCTGCACCAGAAGTATCAATACTTGAGTATCAATCAGTATCATTTCTTTTCCATGAGTCAATTATTGTAGATTATGAAAAATGTACATATTTAGTTTCATATGACATTCACTCCATAAAATATTTGGAATATTTCACAAGTCTTATGTTCAACAGGAAGTTCATTATCTGTATTCCCCTTCTTTTTCCTTTTTTACGATAATATTTTGATATTGACTTTTGAATTTTCATTCATTAAAAATAATTAAAAAAGAGGAAATTAATAAAATGTGCTTAATGTCCTCATGTCCTTAGTGTGGACGCTAGTTAACATTTTGTGTCTTTGCTAATTCTGTGCAAAAAAAAAAAAAATCAAATGCTGTCATTTAAGCATAATATTGTTTTCGGGCCGGCCCACTGGTAGTTAAGGATTTTAGACAAAATGTTATTTTTCATTGCTCTTTTTCCGCTCACAGTCCAGTTTAATTGTCGCTTCTTTTATCCTTTGCAAACCAGTTTAGTAAACAACTCTAACAGCAGGTTGTACAGCTGTAACCATTTAAGCACAGTGCCAGCAACAACATTTATCATTGTATATCAGGCCCAGTCATTTTTACTTTCAATTGTTTATGATATGTCTTATTTTTCCAAAACAAAAGGCTGTGGGCATTTAAATCTGTCCAAGGAGATAAACTAGTTACAAATTGTATGCAGGACAATAAGCTGGGTGGCCCAAGAATGAACCAGCAGTGGCAAACAGTCAGCAGGGTGCAAACCTAATCAAGCCAGCAGTCAGATATACACCTGCTGTCCAGGCTGAGTTGGGTTAATACACCAAGAGGTTAAATGCATCTCTTTAGATTTGTTTTACATGGAACTCCTGGTTGTAATGAGAACCATTCCCTTTAAAGAACCATCTTTAAGAGTGTACATAGCCCATATCTTTTTAATAGAATAACAGCAACCAAACAAATATTAGCTTACTGACAGTGTCCATTCCCCCACCCCCCTCAAGTTTGTTGTTAGAAAGCTGCATTCCTACCTCAGGAATGCAGCATTGGAAAAGGATACACTAGACTGTGGAGTGCAGGGGCATGACCAGAGTGGGTGACCAGGCCACACCACTCCAGTGTTCATTCTCACTGCTCAGCTAATTAGCAAAGCTTGTAAGTTGAATTCAGAGAACACTCGTCACCGCAGGGCAACACCCTGGCTTAAAGAACGGCAAGACAAGGTGTTGCCAAGCTTTGAACCAATGCATCAAAAGTGGGAGACCTGAAATCAACCGCTGGAGTAGGCTGTTCGATTTAACAGAAGCGCGACAGTTTGCTGTTACAATCTTTATTTCACCAAGTTCAATAAGAAGGCATGTACCACCCATCACCACACTAGTCCCTCCATCAGGCCAAACAGCCTAGTTCTTGCTCACAGGGCATCCTTCAGCTTCCATCAAGGTTCGACTCCAACCTTTGCCACAGATGGCACTGCTGGTTAGAAGCCATGTTGCCTGTGAGATCTTCAAGAAGCCCTTCATTGTCCTTGGTGATGTGATAAACAGGAGCTGGCTGCCTACGAGTCACACTGCTTCTCCTGTTCAATGGCTGAAAGGGAAAGAAGCATCACATTAAACAGGGAATTCCATATTTCATTCAATTGTTGAGGTCAGTCATTCAAAGTGGTTTGATGTGAAGGTGCATCACTGCAAAACTTAGACTCAGTGGTGGTGAAAGGAACCAGGGGTCACAAAATGGCTCTGCATTGTAGACATTTACTATCCAAGTCTGGCTCCCATCACCAACACTGATAATTCTGACTGAGCAAGTTTCTGTAGAGCATTTCACACTAAGCTGCTCTGAATGACTCTACATCTCAGCCATTATAATTATGGAGTTTTTGGAGGACCAGTGAAGTTCCCCTTCAGCTCTTAACAGCAAGGCAAACTCCAGAATCTGCAAACATTAGTAAACAAGAGTATAGCAAAGCAATACAGCTGCCAATACTTGAAAGCCTTCATAGCCATGTTAAAAGCCATCTCCCAGATGCTCACTCTCTTTGGTAGGTAGAGTATTCTTCTCCTGCGTCTCGGTCTTCTTCAGCTTGCTCTTATCAAAGTGAGAGATCTCACTGATGTCAGGCTTGTCTGCCATTCTGCAGGAGGACAGGCTTTCTACAGAGAGATAAGAGCACTGATTATTCAGCGTCCGCTACAAAACCCTCATAGGAAACTCAAAATCCCACAAAACACTCACATGCTGGAACAGAACACAAACTAAACCAAACTCTCTCACAGCTCAATGTGTTAGAAACCAGCATTGAACTCCAAAGCAACACATAAAACTCATCTGTGACCTTTTTTATCTGAAACAGCAGATTCTGCTTCGTCCAATCAGAAGAGCTTGGGTGAATGAGAGAGCCAGGCCTAGTAACTCCACTGAATCAGTGAATCAGCTGTGGCTTGTTGATCTGGCTTCATTTTCACCAGTTAAATGCTTAAAGGGGAACCCCACCATTTTTTCCAAATTTCTGCATAATTAAATGGTCAAGATGTAAACAGTCATTGAGAGTGGTTTGGTGTGAAATGCTTAGTTTTAGGTCAGGGGTGTCTAATCTTATCTGCAAAGGGCCGGTGTGTTTGCAGGTTTTCACTCCAAACAAGCTGAAGCACACCTGACTCCACTTGTTTAATCAGTTGGTCTTAGTCTTCAAACATTTCACCAGGTGACCTCCTGCTTTGTGAAAACCTGCAGCCACCCCTGCTCTAGAGAAGCTTACCAGTCAGAGTTGTTCAGTGATTGTGAAGGGAACCAGACGTCCACCTCTACTCAGCCTGACGTCTGAAAAATTGTTTTATGATAGTTTTGTGATAAGAATATTGGACTAAAATGTATTTTAATCAATTTATTGTGATGAATTCATGCTGGAGGGATACATGAAGGTTGTTCTGAGGCAAAAAAAAAGTCCCCAAAGAAAACTTATTTTTTCAGATTTACCACTACTTCACCATCATCAACATAACACAGAAGATGTGTAGGTTCACTGGTGGTTTTGTAAATAGTGATAGTAGTAGTAAATAAAATGGCTGTAATTGTGTTGACACTGTGACCCCTGGTTCCACCACTGTATAGAAACCTGATTCTCTACAATGAACCATTTCACACCAAACCACTCTGCGTTACTGTTTACATCTCAAGGACTGAATCATTCAGAAATTTTGAAGAATTGGATTGGTGGAATTCCCCTTTAAATGCTTAAACAGATGCTATGAAGAGTAGATGGGACCAGGTGTGGTCACACTGGGATCTCTGTATGGACCACATAACATTGTAAAAATCTCAAACAAATGGAGAAACCACATCATTAAAATTGGACAAATTATAAAACTAATAATTCACTTTAATATTTCTACTCTTTTTAGCTCCTTTTGGCCTGTTGCATTGAAATTATCAAAGACTTTGTAAGACACAAACTTACTAAGGCCGGAAGGCAGCCTGAATACCACTTCTAAAAACCCAATAAAACCTTTGGTCCCCTGTCAGTGAGAGATTATTCCACACATGAAAAGTATGGTGAGGAAATCAAGAACCACAGCCAATAAAATGTAGAATAAATGAAAGAGTAAAGTTGCTACCACTTGGACTTCCTTTGATTATTGTTTGGGAAGGACAGTCCTGTTTTACATTTGGAGTCTCAAAATGAGAAACTCTCACAACTGATGAACTGTGAAAGTGTATTTCTTTGTTGTGTTATATTCAGTGGCGTTTAAACAAAAGAAAATCTGTTGAAATCTCACTGAGCTAAATGCTAAAGCTGCTGTTTACAGGCCTCATGTTTTGAGTACTCATTTAGGAAGGATTTGCAGCACTGACCTCTTGTGGTAGAAATGAAGAACTGCACGGAGCTGGACGGTCATAGACGTAGAGAAGAGAAGTCTAATTTATAGTTAAACTATTGTAAAAGTCTGAATCGTTCTCGTTGAACGTTTGCCAGATTATCGTTTTCTCTAACTAATTTGGCTTTTATCATCTCCTTCACTACAGAGACGCAAAGCTGCGCCGTGGTGTTTTTGCCAGCAGAGGGCGACGTTGTAGCATAATTAGACGGTCAGAGAGCTTTGAGCTTTTCCTGCTCGTGTGGTCAAATAAGAGTATGTTTAAATCAGTATGGGCTGAATCTGACACATATAATCTTTTATTTTTGGAAACTAAATTCATACTAGAACTAAAAGGCCTGCATGTGTTAATACTTAAGGGATATGTTTACTTAGCCTAAGGGGTGTACTTAAAGGGGAAGTCCACTAATTTTTCAAAAAAATTCTACATAATTAAATGATGGAGATGTAAACCACCGTTCAGAGTGGTTTGGTGTGAGATGCTGGGTTCTAGAGAAACTTGCTGAGTTGGAATTGTCCACAGCAGATGTTGACCTCTAAAAGCTCCCTCACAGAAAGTTATTACATGAAATCAGTAGATATGTGCTGCCTGGTGTCTGACACACTGTTTTATGATAGTTTTGTGATAATGTTTTGGTTTAAAGTCTATTTTAATCTATTCACTGCAGAGGGGTGCATGCAGAGTGTTGTAAAGCAAAATAGTCCCCACAGAAAACTTATTTTTTTAGATTTATAACCATTTTACCATCATCAACATTACATGTAAAACCTCAGAAGACACATGTAGGTTCACTGGTGCATGTAAAAAATGGCTATATTTGTATTGTAAATATTATTTTCTCTATAATACACCATTTCACATCAAACCACTCTGAATGTCTCTGTTTACATCTTAGTGACTCAATTATTCAGAAATTTTGAAAAATTTGTGGAATTCCCCTTTGAGTGCATTTCTTACCTGCTCTTCTTAGTTAAGAGCTATGCTTAAGTGTACAGCCCCAAAAAATACATTTGCAAGGATGTGCCCATCCGGGTTACCATAGCAAAAGACCTAAACTCATAATGTCAAGGTAGCTTTGTGCACTGATCTCTTAAACCACCCAAACTTTTGAAAAACAAATCTTTCTTGCCTATTTTGAAATGAGATTTTGGTGGAGTATGTAAACACTGTTAACATTTCAAAACAAGTTCACAAGTTCTTACAATCTGTATGGAAATTAGGGTGTAAAAAAACAGCCCGTTTTGAACTCAGTGTGTCTGTGATGTCACAAAAACCAGTGCATTTACCAACAGCTCTATCCAAAATATTTTTATTTTAATTTAGATTTTAATTTTACACGTTTTATTGACGTGATTTTAGCTAAACACTGCTTTACCATCTGTTATGATTGTCAGTAGTCAACTGTGAATTGTCAGACATTTTAAAGAGTCCATATCATGGAAAACTGAATTTTTAAAATTCTTGTTAAAACAAGTTTCAAAACATGCTACTCACTCCCAGTTCATACAATCCATGTATGACAAACTAAGCTGCAAAAACTGCCATTTCTGAATTCATTGTTTTTGTGATGTCACCAAAACAGCACATTTACATATATAACCATCTATTCAGCCTACAGCAGTTTAGCCCCACCCACTCACACTGAAGTCATAAGGAGTGTTTCAGCCCAGACTGCTTTTTGAATGAGACACAATACAGGACAGCCAATCAGAACAGAGAGCATTTACATATACCAGTCTGGAAGGCACAGTAACTAAAACAGCCTGTTTGATTCTACGAGATAAAAAGAGGTTGGAAAATGAATTATGACCATTTTTGCTACATAAACCAGCATAAATATCAAGAGTGGGAAAGAAAAATATAGAATAAAAGCTCATAAAGGATTTTCTTACTTTCTACTTAAATAATTTCCTAAAGGTCACTTAAGGTAAAGGCATTTGTAAGTGAAACCTTGAGGCCTAAATTCAAAATACATTTCATATGGTAACTGTACTGTATCAAATCATTAAAACATCCTGCAGTGCCCAGAAATTCCATCCACAGGTTCATGTTTTCTCCTCTCTGCCGGACTGAGGGCTTCACTGGCCTTCACTTCATTTCACCTGGGCTCTCTCTGCCCTTTGATAATTTACGTGTTATTTTTAACTCGTACTTAATCTGAGCAGGTGCTGTTCTTTGGGAAAGATCAATGAACTGATTCATCCCTGGATCAGCTTTGATAGCATTAGCCATCAGCTTTGAGCGCCCACAGATTCACAGGCTTCAATAGGCCCGAGATTCATACAGAAACAACAGCCAGTGACTGGTGGGACGTTTAGAAGTCGGCTAATGCGCTTCAAGCTCTCATAATTAATCAGCCCCGCACAAACGAGAAGAGATCAGAGATAATTAAAACTGTTTTAGGTGGACTTTTCTCTTTGAAGCAGACTGAGGCCTAGTCACTAATTCCTAAGCCAAGTAGGTCTCAGCTCAGTTTACAGTGACAGTTCAGCTAAAAAACTTAATAGTGATTGACATGCCTCTCAGCCAATCAGAAGCTCTGCCATTGGTTAGGCCTTCAGGAGCTGAACTGAAGGCCTAACAGCAGATTAACCACCCAATCAGGAATTAACCACGTTTTGATTCACAATGCATGGGATCGATTTTTGAGAGAAAGCATCACTTCAGGCTTTCTGGAAGTTCTAGATACAACACTGTCTATGAGCGTCAGCCTAATTACTAGACGAGTCACTGCAAAACTGATACAACCTACGTTAATACATCTGCGGAGGGAGATTCAAATGTAAGTATTTAACAGACAAAATATGTGGTTCTGAATTGCTGTTAGCCTAGTGCTAACATACTACTAGAATCCCATAGGAGCACCTTTTTCCTTCTATAAAACAAGCTGTAGAAATAACCACAGATTATATTAGTCCTGTGTGAATCAACATCAATAAAAACGCTATCTTATCCCTACCTCAAGTGAACAACTCAGAACATTAAAATGTAAAAAAATACAGAAAAAGCATTTTTAGTATTTTTAGATTTTTAGTAATGTTGCCTGTAATTTCCCATGCTGATCACAATACTAATGACACGCCATATTCAATTCAGACTGCAACAGAAATGATTAGGGTAAATGGAATAAGGGTTTTCTAGTGTTTTTACATGCTTTCTACTCTTTTCTGAGGTAAAGGCAGTGCATAAATCTAGTAGCCCCTCCCATCTCTGCCATTTATACCGAGATTTCTTATTCCATGTGAATCGATCATAAACATTACAGACACCCTGTGGGAAACTTGCACTGCCTCATCTCCTCATGGAAAACCAATCCTGTCCAAATAGGGATTTTTTTTTCCACTTTTTTGCCACATTTTTTTTTTTTGACATTTATTGCCCAAATGTTTTTAAAATGTTTGCATAATTAAATGGTTCACATGTCAACAAAATCATTCAGAGTATTTTGGTGTGAGAT